ATACTATCTAGGACCCAATTTTTTTCAGAACGCTTTGCATCTCAACTAAGGCAACCAAATTAGTGACTTTTGCATCTTTCCTGGATTTTCTCTTCCTTGTAGTTACTAAAGCAAGGTTTCAATCACGTTGATTAAATGTGTCATTGTGACATAAAATATGTGGAGAAAGCAGGATTTTGAACACTTGTTCATCTTGGTGAGCAATGCACGTTCTGAAAGAAGATGGATTCTGTGTGGATAAGTAGTATTTAGTGATGTAGTTAAAGCCTATGTCCCAGGGTTTAATTGAAGTCATAGGGTTTAACTGTTACTTTTCAAATCTTCGGAGCTTGACTTTCGAACCTTAATTTTTTAACATAGTTTTTGGGTGTGTAATTTTCTCAGTGCCTTTTTTTTTTTTTTTTTTTTAATTACCCCTAAAAGAAATAGAAGCAAAAGTGTATTTTTTTCTGGGGTTTCTTTGGTCATTTCTATTGTCGTTAGCAGAATGAGAACCTCTAGATGCCAGCTCAGGCTGTAACTGTCTAAAATGTAGTGGTAGGTCGTGATCCGTAGGTGGATTGACAATGAAGAGAGATGGCAGCCTTTATACATCTGTTATTTCACACATGCACGTTACCTCCTAGTTTTTACGTAATATAATACGACTGACTTGAAGCTTTGATGTACACTTCCCATTCTGTTGGCCACAGGGCGATGCTGTCTGGTGATTTTAATGTAGCTTTCCCTGCAATATTCTACTTACCTGCTTCTTTCTGGGCTATCTTATTGCTCTGCTGCTTTCTACATTTTTCTGTCACATCCTTTTCTTTGTTGATTTAATAAATAATTTGTAGTTGCTCGTCACATTTGGTCAGTGTGACTGTGTGCAGCCCTATAGTTGCATGGGTCAGGTCAGCTGGCCAAGCAGACCCAGTCTAGAAAGCAAAGGGAAAACTTTCAGATCCACTGCTTGGATTTTGCAGGCTGTAGTTGAGGAAATAACCACTGTTATAAGCTAGGTGAACTGAGGCTGGGACACAGAACTACAGAATAATTGATATTGGAACAGACCTCTGTAGGTCATGTAGGCCACCACTCTGCTCAGAGCTGAGTCTGATTGAAAGTTAGATGAGGTTGCTCAGAGTCATGTCCACTTGAGTTTTGAATATCACAAAGGATGGAAATTATGCAGCTTATGTGAATAACTTGTTCCAGTGTTTGACCATTGTCACAGTGAAGTTTTTCCCTAAGGCCTAATTGAAGTTACTGTACTGTAGCTTGTGTCGATTATCTTGGTCCTTTGCTGTGAACCTCCAAGAATAATGAGGTTCTTGTGCTCTTAAAAGCAACAGATATTTTTGTAATGCTTAATAGCACACTTTCTGTTAGGAATATAGATAACTTTTGCCAAGTACGTAAAAAACAATTCTGTTCCAGCCATGGTTGCAAACTTTATTCAATAACAGGCTGGCCAAGTCAGTTGGATTACTTTTTGTTTATGGGGGTAAAATAAAAGTCTTTTTCTAGCCTTGCTTTTTGAAACAGATTAGATGTTAGAAATTTCTCCTTTCTCACACATAATCATGCATTGTATTTTTTTATCAGGTGACTGCCTTATTGTGTGTAGTGAATAGATGCTGATGGTTTAGGAGGTGAATTTAAGTCTTCAGGTTGGACTTCTGAAAGCCAGCTATGTCATCCTGTGATTTTTTTTCCCACCTTGTTAGGTGTATGGACCACCTGCATAGCAAATTTAAGCCCACTGACTAGAGGGTACTTTTGAGGGGTCTGTTAGAAATGATCTGCAGAGTACTACACTGACATTGAGGTAGTCTCAACTAGCCTTTCAGGCACAGTCAGTGGGGAGAAAAATAAGCCTGTTGAGAAAGGTAGAATAAACTACTATGGCTGTGTT